GGGGGGGGGAGTAGGTGCTATTTCGGAGTTGCCCCCCCCGGAAGGGGAGGGGGGGCTTTTTCGGAGTCGCCCCCGGAGGCGGTGAAGGGAGTTGCTATTTTCGGACTTGCAGCCCCCCCACGACGGCGCTTGGGAGCGGGGAGAGCGGTCGGTATTTCGGAGTTGCACCCGGTGATAGGGGGTGAATTGCTGTGTCGGTGTTATCCCCGGTGGGGGGGGGAGTAGGTGCTATTTCGGAGTTGCCCCCCCCGGAAGGGGAGGGGGGGCTTTTTCGGAGTCGCCCCCGGAGGCGGTGAAGGGAGTTGCTATTTTCGGACTTGCAGCCCCCCCACGACGGCGCTTGCCCCGGTTCCGGCGGGGCTGGGGTGCTCCGGGCCGATCACCTCGCAGCGGGATAACTTTGCGAGTCGGTGGCGGGGGGGTGATGGGGGAACCGGTCGGGTTCATCGAGGCTCTCCCGGGAGTCCCCTATCGCCGCTCCCGGCGCCCGCCTTTGTCTGCGAACTGTGGCGGAGCCTCCCCCGGGGGCGCCGGGCACCCGGGCCGCCATCCGCCCCGTCGAGCCCGGGGGCCGCGGCTGGGTCCTCCCGCCGCTACTGGGAAAGTTGCGGTGGGAGGAGGAGTGGGGGGGACGGACCCGACCCGGGTGCGTGGGATGGATGGGGCGGCCGTGCCCGGCGGCCTCCTCACCCCGCGCCCCGGCCGGCACCGGGTCGTGCCGCTCCCGGGGGAAGCGGGGCTGGAGGTGTGTGGGGGGGAAAAACCCCGTCGGCGAGGAGGGTTTATTAAAAAAAAACACAATAAAAACCCCAACCAACAAAACGCCGTTTCTGGCAGATTTCGATTTCACTTCTGTTTCCCGCTCCCGCAACCCCCCCCCTCCCACCCCCGCGTCCGTTCCGGGGCCGCGGCTCGGTCCCCGCTGTCTCCGTCTCTCCCGGAGCCGGGAAGCGGCGAGGCGGGTCGATCCCCATCCCTCCCCGGAGGGGGGGAACGGGGCCAAGTTCGCCGTTAACCTTCCCCTGCCCTTTGCAGCGTGGGGGGAAGGGGGGGCCTCGTCCCCGGCTCGCCCTCCCGGGGCGGGGAACGGAGGGCGGGAGAGGGGTTCGTGTTGCGGAAGGCGCGCACGGCGGCAAGGTGATGGAGGTGGGAGGGGGGGGTGTCCCGTCCCGCCCCGCCCGGGCGGCGGCTCCGCGCCGAGCACCGCCCCCGGCCGCCGCCGTTGCCGCGGGGGCGCCCACCACGTGCGGCCCTGCCCGCGCCGCCCCCTGGGAGCCGGAGTCCGCCGGGACTACATTTCCCGGCATCCCCCGCGGCGGGGTGGGACGGGGAGGTGGGTGGGAGAAGCAGCGCGCTGGCGGACGGCCAATGAGAGGGGCGCGGAGAGTGGCGCGCGGTTTCGAATGCCGGCAGGGCGCGTGGCGGGGCGCGGGAGGGGTGCCCCCTGCCGGCGGGAAGGAGTCGCGGGCTGCGGCGGCTCCGGGGACGGACGGACGGGTGCGGGTCCTGGCTGGGGCAGGGGGGCAGCGGCCATCCCGGTCCCTTCCCGCCGGGATCCGGCCCCCCTTCCCTCTGCGCGGGCAGCTGCTGGAGCCCCCGGGAGCGGAGCGGGAGCGAAGGTAGGGCTCGCCGGGTAGCCGGCGCATGACTACACGCCGTTGCTATTTTATGGACAAACAGCCCCGCCACACCTATAATTAGAGGCTCTGTCAAAGCGCTGGAGCTCCAGCAGCCCCGCTGCAGGGACTCGCGGTGTGGAGGCACACATCTGGCTATTTGTGTTGGAGCTGGCCTGGGGAAAGGGAGAAGCTGTGGTCCACTCGGCAACCCTGTTGCTAGCACAGACTTTCATGACCTGGTATCCCCACGGTCGTTAAAACTGAGAGTGTCTTCAGTGGGGCGGGAAAGGTCAGGGCTGGAGATCTGTCCAGTTAAAAGCCTTGAGAATGAGTTGTTCCTTCACCGGGAGAATTGCTTATGTTCCGTGAACGGCTCCTTTTGAGAGGAGCCATCGGGCACGGTGAGATGTGGAAACTCTGACTGCTTGGTTTTGCTCTGATGTTGAACTTGGGAAGTGCTTTGTCGCCCTCGTGCCTGTGTGCCTGATGAGAGGCCGTGGCTGCGGAGCGTGACAGTGTGGTGGTGCGCGGGAGGTTAAACGGTTGGGATCAGCCTCCTGGGGAGTAGGAGCTGCTGATAGTGTAAAACTGTGGTGGAATTGGGGCAGCGTGGAGGAGATGGCCTGAGATCCCTATGGGAGCGGTGACAGGAAGAGAAGGGAGCTTGTGTTTTTGTTTACCCCAAGCTCCTGGGATGCTGGTTAGGTCAGGTGAGGAGGTTCCATCAACAGGTGTAGTCACCCCCAGAGCTCGCTTCCGAAGAAAGTCTCTCCTTTGCAGCCTGGGTGCCTCCGGCAACGCGGTCTGAGCAGTTTAAATAACCTGGTGGTTCAGAACCCCTGTGCTGCCTTGGCCTTAAGCAGGGTAGCAGAAGCCCTCCCGAGAAGGATCAGTGGTCACAATGGCAGGGCCAGGCTCTTACCCACTGGTGTTCCCACGAGGAAGTGACAGTGGCTGGGTGGGAGTGAAAGTGCCTGCTCGCCGCCGCAAAGGGCGAGCGGGAGGGGGGTGAAGTCACTCGGTGCCGCAGCGAAGCGGGAGCTGCCAAGCAACTTCTGAAGACCTGGTGGCCGCTGCCGAAGCCGGCCGTACCGCTGGCCCTGGGGAGAAGGGCCTCTCTGCTTTCCTTGGCTGGGGTAGCGCTCCTTGTGCCGAAGGATCTCGCTCCAGCTGATGGAGGAACAGAAGGGGAGGAGGATGCAAGCAGAGATGCCAGTGTTAAATCCAAGTGTTCTTTATGCGGGAACATAAAGTTGGATCCTCTCAGCCTGTTTGCCGAGCGACTTGGCATGACATTTTGACAGTGATCAATAGCAAAAACACACAAGCTCCTGCTCTCCTCCCGCTCAGCTCGCGGTGGAGGTTTGAACTGAACTAGCCAGGCACGGCTCTCAGAGCAGTGTAAAAATAGAACTTCTTCCCCCACCCCATCCTGTTACACTTAAAGCTGTGAGCTGGATCCTGGAGTCTCCTCTCTCTCTCTCGCTGACGAGAGAGACCAGGCGTGCAGTGTTTGCCCTGTGTTTTTTTTTTTTTTTTTTCTGCACCCCCAGGCAGGGCAGAGACCATGCAGGGTCTCTGCTAATGAGCCCATGGGGTTTGCTCCTGCTGGGAAGGTGCCGAGCAGCTGTAGATGTCCTCAGCCCTGGGGCCGCAGAACCCCTAAGTGTGACGGGGCGGCTGGCTCTTGGTGGCATTGCAGGAGCTTGCGTGGACTGTGCTAAGATGGGCAATCAGCCAGCCCTGCTGCTGTTGAGCATATGCAGGCGGCCAGCTCTGTGTGTTTGGGAGCTCGGAGGTGAAACAGAGCAGTCTCTTTTTTAAGATAGCTGCTCTCTGGCAAGGCCGACTTGGATTGAGATTCGCCCCCACACTCTCCCGTTCCCAAGGAGGAGCCCGGAACGTGGCAACCAAATCGCAGAGCAAATGGGTGTGAAGAGAAACCAGCTCCTGCTCGCTCTCGGACTGGGTTTTTCACACCTGATCTGCAGCTTCTCTGATGCAGGCATCTGGAATCAGGGTGACTTCTCTGCTTTTCTGCTCCTTCCAGGATCTAAAAGAGAAGAAGGAAGTTGTTGAAGAAACAGAAAATGGCAGAGATGCACCGGCCAACGGCAACGCTGTGAGTATTGCTACAACCTGCAGGGAGAGGCAGCCCTTAACGCCAACGCCTTTGTTATTTTCCTCTCCCTTCTTACTTTTGCTGTGAGCTTGTCCCCAGCCCTGCCGGAGAGAGGGGACCCCTCCAAGTGGCATTGCTCTGCTGTGCGGTGCCCTCAACCCTTTGGGGCTTCGGCTTCAGCAGTCGCTCCCCAGCCTGTGGGCAGTTCATGTGTGTGTGGAAAGGGAGGGCTGGGCTTGGATCTGCTCCCCGAAAGCTGTGTGAGGTTGTATCCAGTGCCAACACCTTCCTAGGCACTGGAAAAGGAGAGAGGGAGAAAAAGGGGGGAAAAAAAAAAAGCCACCCAAACCTTGGGTTTACAGTGTTACAATCAGTTGAGCGGGGAAACACATTGTGTACAAGTAAACTGCTTGGTTTCCTATTTTTAAGGCGCTGGGGGAAATTCACTCTGCTGTGTTTCATTGTGTCACAAGAGCATCTGTAGTCTTTTGTCTTGGCCTTCAAGCTGCAGCCCGAAGTTACTCCAGGCTTGTCCCTCTGTGCCTGGGCTGCCGGCATCGTGTGGAGGCAGGCGGGGAAGTGGGATGGGTTCCCGGGGCTCCTGGGGGGCTGGTGCTTTGCTTTAGGCAGGAAAAGTGGGGACACACACTTCTGCTGAACATCTCTTCCCCCTTCTCCCTTCCCCAGTGCATTTTTTTTTTAAGTGATGTTTTGTCTTGCCAAGGAGAACGAGGAAAATGGAGAGCAGGAGGCCGACAACGAAGTAGACGAAGAGGAAGAGGAAGGTGGCGAGGAAGAGGACGAGGAGGAAGAAGGTGATGGTAACTTTTCTTTGTTCCCCTCAGCCCAGGGCTGCCTCCTGCCCTGGCCAGCAGGCTCCTGAGAAGCAGAGGAAGGAGAGCAGCGTCTCCCCCTCGCGGCTGTGGCCGGGTGGCTCCCACCAGCTGGGCTCAGTCCTTCCTCGCTCGCCCGGGCCACCGGCGCTGGGAGTGAAGTCAGCCTTGAATCCCTTCCAGCAGGTTGAGGGCAGATTCCTTCCTTCCTTCCTCCCTCCTGCAGCCAGACGGCACCGTACCGCGGCGCTCAATAAGCGCATTAGCCCTTCCGTGCGAGGAGTAAAACCTGCCCTTGACTCCTGCGATCACGGCGGCGGCTGTAGACACAAGTGGCCAGCCGGTGGGATGGGGACAGCCCTGGATGGCCATGACTTGGCCCAGGCATGGAGGATGGGACACACCATTCTTGTTCCTCGGCATGCTGAGAGGCTGATGTGAGCCCATTTCCTGGCCCTTTCCTGGGCCAGGCAGAGGAACCTGCAGCTCTTCCCTGCTCCTCCAACGGCAGCAGACAGGCTTGCTTTGAACCTGCCCCGTCCACAGTGTCCCACATCTCCCTGCCCTCCCCTGCTTCCTCACCTGACCCAGCCTGGAAGTGGGTTTTGGCAGCAGCAACCAGAAATCCAGCAGTGACTTGCTGAATCACTTCGCACCCTCCCCGCTATTATTTTTTTTTTTTCCCCCAAGATCTACTTGGATGAATAACATTGTTTATTTTTATCGCTCGTTAAGGCTGAGAGAAAACCATTCTTGTTATGCTGAAATGAACTCGGGGCCCTTGATTAGCTGTTACTAGGTTAATCCCCTGTGAATTTTTGGTTTCCATGCTGACCTACTAACCTTGTTGGTTGGTTTTGGGAGGCAGGGACAGGGCTGGGAATTCAGTGACCACTAGATCGGGGCCTGTTCAGACGGTGTAAGTGGGAAAAGCTGCCTCCTTTGGGGGAGTGCTCTGCTCTCAGCAGCCTGTTCCTTTGGAACCGACTTGCTAGGAAAATCTGGGAATCATAGCCTCCTCCATACTCGGGATTTGAACCCTTGGGGACGGAGCACAGTGCTGCCATGTGCTGTCCTGAGCCCACCTCCCTCCAGCCCTGCTTAAGGATGGGAGAGGGGGGGAATACTTGCCTCTCCTTGCTCCCCTCGGGCAGGAGGAGGATGCGTGTGCTGCAGGCGTGTGTGGGGTGGAAGTGTTGCTTGGATACTGCTGTGACAAACCCGGGGAGCTTCGGTCCCCCAGTGCCCGCAGTCACGGTTTGGCACACAGTGCTTGGAGGCTCCATCGCCTCCCCGGGATCCCGCACAGCTCTGCCCATCCCTGTCCCTGCCTGCTGCCCTTGGGTGATCCCTGCCCGAGAGCTGCACCTGAGCAGCAGAACGCTGCAGGAGAGAGATTTAAAGGCAGCGAGCACAGCTTGCATCAGCTCTTTTGTTTCCAGCACGTGCAGCCAAACTCCATCCCAGAGTTGGGCGGCTCGAGGGTATATTTTTTTCTCACCCTTCTCCCTATCCCATCTCATTATTTGCTTTGCTTTAAAGCAGCTCAAAGAACTAAAAATGCTCCCAATCAGCTTGGCGCTGTCACCTGACCGGCTGGTTGGCCCCGTGCATGTGATGGCTGCCGGGGTGTTGATCCATCACCGGGAGCTAATCTTGGCCCTTCCCGCCGCGTGTGCCACACCGTGGCTGGGCACAGGCCGGGGAGAGGAGAGGGGAAGGGAGGAGGATGGGCTGACCTTAATCCCCCCGGCTGTCTATACGTGTGGCTCGTGGCGGTGGTTTAAAGCCAGCTTACTGGCCTTAACGCTCTATAAGTTTTAGTAGGGTCTCCTCTTATGCAAGAGACTCATCTCAGCAGCCCAGAGGTTGTTCCGCCTCCGGTCTTGCCCTCGACCCCCCAAAAGCGGCCGAAGGCGATAGACTCGGTCGTTCTGATCCACTGGCCTATTTGAACACAAAGTGGGTCAAAGCCCAGAGCTCTCTCTGCTCGTCCTCCCTCCTCTCTGGTGGAGAAGAGAAGTTGGTAGCATTTGTTTGCCGTTCTGATAATTAGAAAGTGTTCTGACTCAGAACTAATGCGTTCTGGCTCTCTTAACTCATTAAAGATGGACTAATAGCTGCGAAGGGAAGCAGAAGTAATCAGCAGCGGTTGGGCAGAGCAGCCACTAGAAAGAGTTTCTTCCTTCCCCTTTTTTTTTTTTTTATTTTAAATATTTTTTGCCATGATTTCAGTGCTCACAGTAGGTGCTGGTTTTGACATCCCGTTGCCTGTGGCACAAAGGCAGGTGTGAGCTGGGCTCGGTGCTGCCAAACTTAAGGTCCCCCTTGGTGGGTCAAGTCAAAGTCAGTTGGGGGGTGCTCCAAAAGCCCCCATGTCCTCAGGCACCTGCACAGGGGCCATGCCAGCCGGGGAGGTGGGACTCTGGACATCATGGTGTGGGGCTGAGGCAGGAATAACCCCAGAGAGGGGAGGGACATGGGTCTCATGTTCCTGTTCCGTGCAGGTGAGGAGGAGGACGGTGATGAAGACGACGAAGCTGAGGGAGCCACAGGCAAACGGGCAGCTGAGGACGATGAGGTAGGAAGACTGGCCATCCCCTAGGAGCCACCTGTGTCACCAGAGGGTTTGGGGAGGAGGATCGGGGGGCCGGGCTGGGCTCTGGGGCTGGAACGCCCTACCCACACGCTCCCTCCCCGTCCCTCTCCAGGGAGCCAGCCCACTTCCATTTATACGCTGGCCTCGTTAGCGGGGTGCCCGCTCTGGCTGCACGGAGCCACTGGCCCTGGGTTGGGGAGCCCCAGGGTGGGCTGGGGTGAGGGGGGGATCCCCAGGTTGACGGTGGGAGGGGATTTTGCATGAGGCAGGGGAACACTTGTGTTCCTGCCCTTGTCCTTGGGGTGGGAGAGGGACCCAAACAATCTCCTGACTCGCTGCCTGCCTTGGTGTGGCTCTCTCCAGACCCCCCCCCTCAGCAGCCCCACTCCCTGTCCCCCCTCCTGACACCTTTGCTTTCCCCTCAGGATGACGACGTCGATCCCAAGAAGCAGAAAACCGACGAAGATGACTAGGCAGCAAATTATTATTATTTTTTTTTTTTAAATAAGGAGGAAAACAAACCAACAAAAAAGGCCAGCGCGTCCTCTTCACCCTTGGGA